TGCCCCCAAACGCAAACCGCTCATTGCAATTTGGGAATGCTATTAGGATTGGCCCCAGAGTCGGCCTCTGCTTAGCAAATAAATAATGGTAATGATGATGATCCCTCATCTTGTCACTGGGGCTCTCCCTAGGGGCCTGGCGGTGCAGGTGGAGGGAGCCTCTCTTGGCCTAATTGGTTCCAACCCTGCAGCCTTCTCTCCAGCCTCCGCTGCTTCTCCGCCTCCCTTTCTCTCTCTCTCTTTCTCTCTCTCCATCTCTGTGGGCCTCAGGACTCAATCTGTAAACTTGTCTTGTCACTTTATGTATATGGGTGTCACCAGCAACCCTCAATTTATTACTGCACATGGATAAAATCACATGTATTAACCAGCACTTATGTGTTTATGTGCCTTGTTCGTCTCTGATGGACAGACAGGATGGAAAACACCCACAGGCACAATTTAATGCCGCTGCCACTGTCTTCCCCCGTGGTAGGGCAGCTGGTTTTATATTAACACTCTGAACAGATTAATGGTGCCAGTCAGGAAACTGTCTCTGTCTGCAGGACTGTCTGGTCCAAAACGCTGACCTCTGACACCGTTACCTACATCATTACTTTTTTAAAAATAAAAAATAAATAATCTCAGCTATTTCTCAGGAGTTGCTTAAATTGTAAGAGAAATTGAGATTAATATTCATCCAAATGCGATTAGATAATTGAATTGTAACACCTCAGTGAAAAATGGAGGGAAATAAAAGGCGTGTTAAGCGTTTATTAAAAGAATCGTGTCGCCTTTTTAATTCAGTGCTTCAGAGGATTGGTTTGAAATCATGAAATTAGATCAGTTTTCACAAGAAAAAAAAACCTGCAGGAACCTGAAAGTAAAAACTTTCTAAAAAATAAATCTTTAAAAGCTCAATGAAAAGCCTGAAAAAAAAAGGAAACGTTGCCCCTGACACCTGGGGGAAAAAAAAAAAGAGAGGTGACATTAGCATCGGCCCAGTGAAGAGGATTTGTGAAATATTTCTCTAAAAATCAATACCTTCTCTGCTACAGTAGGCAAAGAGGATCTCTAATATAGTTTTATGTTATTATTTTTCCTCACACATTGCAACATTTCTCAGCGGCTGGCGGAGGGAAGATGGATTTTCTCTTCGACTTGATGCTAAATGTGATTCTGAATGTGGCGGTTCAATGAGATGATGCAGAGCCTGCGCTCTTTAAAAAGGGATGCGTCTATCTGCACATCCACGGCTGCAGCTTGACGCCCCACAAAGTTGTATACGTTTTTTTAATGCTTGCATAATGCTTTTCTGATACAATTTGCAGATGGCACACTTGTTGGTTCTGTGATGGATGCTGTAACACAAATCGGGAATTGAAAGAAAGGAGGATGTTTATTTAACAGGTAGGTTAACTAAATGCCAGAAATTCAGATGTCACTCAAAACCTCAAAGCTGCTTTACAAGCTTTAATCCCCAAACATGATTCTTCACCAGTGCAACACACTTTGTCTTAATTTTCCGTGCAAATTAAAACTAATCTGTCATTATCAAACGCTGGGCCCCAGCAGTGTGTTAAATTGGGTTTGTGGCAGTTTAAGTAGGGTTTGCTTTCTTTCCAGTACAACAGCGACCTCTGTTGGATAAACGTAGCAATACATTTTTATGGCATACAATTACCTTTTAAATGTGCTTTAGTTTTATACATTTATACTTTTGTTTCACTAAGATGAAGCCAAAAATCCACATTTTGCTGCAGTGGCTTGATGTAGGAGTCTTTCAGTCTCACTTTGTGGGGAGAAATTTTATTTTTGCGCAGCTCTCTTATGGTTGAGCCATAGTATTTCATATCAGTTCTGCGTCTGGACTTTGATTGGGTCTTTCAGTCATTGTCCTGTTCTATGACACAGTTTGGAGTAAACTTCAGCAGTCAGACAGAGGGTCAAATACTTGCATCTAGATCAGGGGTGTCCACATTGTTTGCCAGTGAAATTGTAAAGTTGAAGGTAGAAACAAAAAGAAAAAAATATTATTTTAAACCAAATAAGCAAAGACACAATGTTTCTTATTACTATTAAATTTTCTTACTTGCTTATCAAACCAAACAAATTAGTCTGATTTTTATAGAAAAACAGTTTGTAAATGTTAAATCTGAAGCATAAAAAGAACTTCTCATTTGTTTACATATTGAAAGGGTGGAATACAATTATGTTACATTTTTAATGCTTTTTCGTTTCATTGGGAAAGACAGGATTTGGGTCACCGAGTTAATAAAATACATCTCCCAAAACTGATTTTGAATAAAAGTCACTGGGTATTTGTGATCCTATGAAATTAAATTGAATTAAACAAAAAATGAGTAGTAAATAATAGATTAGTAGTTTATATTTTAAGTAACCTTTTCATCAACTTTCCTCTGTTTGTTGTCTTTGCTCACAAGTGCCAGTTGCACAAAATCCTCCAGAGGGTCACAGATGGCTGATGGGAGGCACTTTGGACATCTACAATTGGATTGGAGAAGATTATTAATTTGAATGGATGTGTTTTGTCTTGTAAAATGCCTTGAGAAACAGCTGTGAATTGATTTAAACAAACTAAACTGAACCGAAGTCAAACGTGAGGCTTCAGATGTTACTGAGGGTTACAGATGAGCCCATGCTTCCATGTTTACGTGAACTGGAAATCTGCTCCTCAGTGCACTCCTAACAGATATAGAAATTCTCCTGAAGTGAGCAGATTTATTGCCACACTTACAGCCGTCTCCTCCTCAGTGCCCTTGGCCTTTCACCAGTGTGCTCACCTACACACAACGACACCAAACCGCCTACAGACACACACCAACAAGCATTTTGGCAATCCTCCTTCATCCCTCCTGTCTGGAGTGGCAGGGTCACAGGAGGTTGGAGATGACAACACAGCTGCTGTGTTTTTCTTCCTCTCAGTGATTTGGTCCAGAGCGGCATGAAGCGGACACCGTTTCCCAGTGGGAAGTGACCCGTGTCTGAGGGGTTGCTCTCTTCTCCAATCAGAGGAGTGCTGAAGCCTGGCGGCGGTACCTGCGCAGGCCTTGTAGCTCCTTTCCTCTGACAGGCGGCAGAAGAAAGGAGGAGGCGTGCCTGGGCGGCTCGTCATCTGAGCGTCGTTGGACATGCGAAGGAGAGGAAACTAAATAAAGAGGGAACAAATCTGCATCAGCACTTACAGAAGCACGTGAAGTGCAGCTGATTCAACAAACGATGATTAAGTGATCAGGCAGAGGACTGAGGTGAAAATCTTTGCCTTTTCAAGCCTGTGATCATGAAGGTTTCCTCCAGCATTCTTGATCATCGCCACACAGTAAACCAGTCTAATTACACTGTACCGACAACAACTACAGGAAAATGCTCTGCATTCTTTTAAAGACCTGCAAATGCTCCCGTCTCAACATTCACTAATTTGTTGGTGAAAAATGATTAGGTACATATGCTAGCTAACAAGGACACAGCTCAATAAGAGCCTAAATATTATTCAGCGTTTCTTCATATTTTTGTTCAGCTGTTTTTCTTCTCATTAGACATACTAAAGTCTGTAGTTGTGTGTCTGAGCAACAGATCGAACCGTATGCTCACAAATTAAAGCTTTTGATCAATGTGCAAAGGCTAAAATGTTAACATTTTCCTCTGGTCATGGATAGGCTGGTATCCTGTCCTGGGCGGGCCCCACCTTTCACCCAGTGACCACTGGAGATGTATTGTGTTCAACTCCGTGTGTGTGTTTACAATACATCTGCAAACACACAACCACACACACTCAACAGTATTTTTACTCCCCAACTTCACGTGTCATTACTAGATTCTCTGTGCCATAAAATCACATTGGTGTCGTGCTGTTTTGTGTTGTGCTCTTTTGTAACTCCCTCTGAAGAAACGACGCATCTGCAGTTTCATTTCTTAACACCTGTGAGTGTAGTAACTCTAAAAGCAGTGACTTCACCTACAGCTTATTAATTGACCCAAAACTCTTGAATGGGATTTGATTCACAATCCTAAGGAAGCAGTTACCCCTGCTGATATATTTTCCTTCCACTCAACTTCCCAGTAATTATGCTTGGATAATGAATGTTGCCAGCAGTGTTGAACCCGACAGTGTTGCTCTTAACGTTTTTTTTAATAAAAATTGTTTTGGTCTCAAGTAAAACTAAATTATTTACTAATATTTGGGGTTTCCCTCAACTTTTAATGAATAGTTCTTAAGATGCATATCACTGTGTTATGAATGAATTCTTGAAATAAACTCTTTCTGATGATGTTCTAATTGATTGAGATTCAGCTTTAATTAAAACTTCCTTGAATTCAAACAAACCACACGACGCCAGGACGTGTTTTCATAGATTTTTCGACTTTTATATTTTTAAAAACAAACAAAAATAACAGATTAAATAAAATTTACAGTAGACATATGCAATCATTGTGCACTTTAACTACTTCTTCTGATACGTTCTGCACGGCTGTCAACAAAAAACGCAAACACAATGGGGACGTCGGGGCGGAGGTCGGGGGCCGGGCGGGGCGGTCTTCGGGAGAGAGGAAGAGGGTTGAAGAAGTGAGGTAGAGGGCAGCAAAGAGGAGCAGGGATGAAGAAGGAAGGAGTAAAGGAAGGCCTAAACTTCGTCACTCGGGAACGAAAGAAAAATCACTGAATATATAGTTTTCTTTAATTCCTTACATCACTTATATAAATATATTGAACCCTCAAAAAAGGAAAACTTCTGAGAAATAAAGAAACAGCGCAATACAGAAATCCACAACAGCAGTAAGGCAAACAGAAAGCAAGAGAGGAGAGCGCAGTGACACTACATGAGAGGAACAGAGAAGCAGAGAAAGAGAGGAGGAAGCGTGAGAGGAGAAATGGCAGCTGGGGAGAGCAGAAAGAGTGCGCAACTCTGCGTATGAAAATTTATAAATATGCGAGATTCAGAGACAATCGGGACGCGGCGAGCTGAGGAAAGAGAAACGGAGGGAGGGAGGAGGAGGAAAAGGTTTGACTGAGATCGACTGTCCAGTGTGTTTTTGTTATGTGCTACGTGACCCTGTTACCTGCACCTTGTGTATCTGTCCGTGTCTTTTGGTTTGTTTGCGTGTGTGTTTGTGTGTGTGTAATTGTATCATGGCAGCACACATTCCACGGCAACAGTGAAACACATGCTTGCGTGTCTGGTGTGCTCTTCTGCTTTATAAATACAAAACAAAACCAATGAATAAAAACAAAACAACAAAAATCTGATTTGCAACCAAACACCAGCCACCTCATGATTCACACCTTCTTCCCTTTTATACATTTGACACATCATTTAACTCTTTTTTTTTTTTTTTTTTTTTTTCCATTTTGATTTTAAATTGTACACTAAGAGCAGTCCCACTCAGTTGTCCTTCCTTTTCCACCAAAAGTCTCTGTGTCCGTCTCTGTCGGTCTGTCTGTCCTCGCCCTCTCCTCTCGTCTCGTCTCACTGAGAGCTGGCTCTCTCTAGCACACGAAGGTCATAGTTCTTTTTGGCAGCCCGGAGTTTGAAGAGGCTGGCTCCGCTGTTGTTGAGTTTGAAGGAAGCACTCTGTGCAGCCATGGTGGTGGGGAACACTGCAACTACTGTGTAGAGGTGCGCTGGGTCGTGGCCGTCTCCCTTCCCTCCCCCTGCTCCCATGCCGACCCCAGACATCGCGCTGGCTCCGACACAGGGACCGCAGCCTCCGGCTACTCCTCGGCCTCCCTGGGGTTCCTTTAGCCACTGGATCTTAGCGCCGCACATCGACAGCTGGTTGAAAAGCTTTTCGGCCTCCGGACGTGAAATCCCCTCCGGCAGGTCGGTCACCTCGAGTACTCGACTCACAACTGGATGAGAAAGAAGCAGAAGATGCACAACATTTTGATTTCAGTTTAAGAACTACCCAAAGTAGAAAAAAAAAATCCACAACTTGCTTAATACTTTCAGCAAGTTAAATACAATTAAACTTTAGATGACATATCTTCTTGGAGTGATGTCTAGAGAGACAGTAGATAAATAAAGCTTGACTCTCTGATGTTTGAAAACATCAGAGTGTGACATGTAGTGATAAAGAACCATTTCTGTGATCGAACAGGGTCATCTCCAGTATTATTTTTAAAAGAATATTACAAGCCGTGTCATACATTGCATGAGTAGTGCTCAACATTTGACCCTCCCATGTATCTCTTCATTGTGCTGCTTAATTTATGAATGCTAACATCCCAAAGGGGAAAATATTCCAGTGGTGATTTTTAAAAGGCAGCATGTCTTTGCTGCCATGTTAAAAAAAAAATGCTGGTAACATGACTGCATGTGCATTAATCTAAGGTCTGAGACGTACTTAAAAAAAACTACAATACCAGAGATTTTAAATAAGATACCTGTGTCTCATGCAGTTTCCAACTTACCAACATCTGTGGTGCCAAGATCTGTTGATGCAGATTTGAGTGTTTGTTTCTTTCCTCGTGCTCCGTGTTTGATTACTCCTTGGCCCTAAACACACGAACAGGTTTTAGAGAGCTCAATAATGCATTGCAATAACTCTGCAACACCAGGTGGCGACATAAGCAACAAATGGAGGCCTTAACCCTGTGGTCTCCAAAAGCAGTCCTCAAGCGCTGCTGTTCTGAATGTTTTACATCTTTCCTAGCGTCTTTACTTAAGGACACCCTGAGGAGGTAATCCACATATTCAGCTCAACTGTGTTAGAGCAGTAAGATGCATAAAACATACAGGACATCAGCCACTGAGGACTGAACCTGCAAGCCTGATCAGTCTCTGTGCATCATGGGAGGAGAGAGTTCAGGCCTGTCACAGACAGGAAGGCCTCTCAGAGTTTATTATCTTGTAATCTAGCAACCAAGTTTGTTTCCTTTCGCTTAATAATTCAGAAGATTCAACATTGTAAGTCTGTAGAACAATATTTATTCAAATGGACAAATCATAGCCTGAATTTATCCCTAATGAAGCTTTATTTGATATTTTATTGAAATAAAAAGAAAAGCCCAGACTAACCTGGTGGGAGTTATAGGAGGACTGGCCATGCATGAGGGGTGGAGGACACAGGCTGTACTGGAGAGGCTGCCCCAATAAAGAGTATCGACCGTCACCTGAAGGACATAAAACGCACGTCAAGATCAAAACTGCAAAGTTTAAATGTTTGATTTGAAAAAGCTGTGTTCATTAAAAATAGACAAAAAAAACATCTTTACATTTCCACAGCAGCAATTTAAAGCTTTTAGGAATAATAATACTAATAATAAGAATAAGAATGAGAAGGAGAAGAAGAAGGAAAAGGAGAAGAAGCATATAAACCACAAAAGTTTTTTTTTTTTTCTTTAGCAGGATGATTTTGGTGAATACAAATGGAAATGTCCAACAAATTGTTTTTCTGAGATGATGTGCTGTACAGACGAGAATTTCAGACTGATGCAACACCAGGTTTCTATGTATAATGGTGATTTCCAAATCTTTGATCTATTTATCAGTAAAGACGGTGTGGCTCAGAGTTTAAATAAATATAGGTCAGAGGACAGACATGAGGTAAAGTCATGTAGAACGTCTGACCCCGTGGCATAAAGCCAGTCATTTCAGCATGCTGAGGCGGAGTGATCTCACTACTGGTTTGAGGCCAAAAGCCACCTGGTCAAATTAAAAGGTATGCATGAAAAGAAAAAAGGCGATGTCATGGTGGGGGGTTTATAAACACAGCTAAAACCCAAAGATAGAGAAGGTCTTTTTTAATCCAACCAGATTTTGATATACAACATGGTTAGTAGAATTTTTTTAAGTGTAGGAGTACTTGATAATTAGGAAATATTTACAAATACAAGTTTTATTACTCTCGAGATAAGAATCTGTCTCTGAGAAATATGAAACATGACGTGGCATAAAGTTAAGGATTCATACTATAAACAAACTTTATTTATCTCTCCATTTAGGGTGGAGCTACAACTGCAGAATATCTGGTTGTTCAAAGTACAACATCACTGGCTGGCTGTCAAAGATAAAAATATAATGTCTTCACTCTCGCTCTCTGGACATTTTGTCCAGGAACATCAGGATCTGATTTTATGAGGGTTATTTATCTGGACCTTTACACGTACCCTGAGCCGGTCCTCCCGGCCGTTGAAACTGGGAAATAAGGGGTAGTGGTCCGAGGCCTGGACATACGCTGTTGACACTGCCAGAGGGAGATGGGGTGGGGGACTGAGTGGGAGAGGCAAGGGGACTGGTCAGCTGAGTGCTGGCCTAAATAAAGAAAACATAAGATTAGTATGATATTGGTTATTAAGTGGACAGAAGTTGTAATTCAGCACCTACACACTAATGTAAATCATTATTACAATTGACCAGAGAAGGATGATGGAGATAAAAGAATAAAAAAGGTATTGCAATAACAAATAACATTATTCATAATCAAGAGGTGTTTGATGCTTTTGTTTACCTGTGGAGTGTTGTCAGGTTTGTAGAGCTCTCCTGGCTTGCTGGGCCGCTGCTCTATGCTGTAGTACTTGCACGGGTTCCACTGAACGAGAGGAGGATTCTGGGAAGGCTGCGGTCCATTGGGGACACTGAGTTGCATGACCATCACCCCAGGCCCTGGAGGAGCCACTCCTGCGGGAGCAAAGCAAAGATAAAACCAAGATAAATGGATGATTTATGATTTATGAGACAGGGAAGAGCTGACCTTATCTGTGGCCCTGTGCTTTTTCATGTGCAGCCAAACATATTAAAGATTTAATTCAGCTTAAATGTAGCTTCAAACTACCCACTGAAAACAATGTTTTCTTTAACATGTCTCTAAAGGCCACTGTAAAATTATACATGCAGAGGATGGATTTACAACTGTAGAAGTTGAAATACAAGAAATGATTTATAGTCAGACTTCAAAACAGATGTATTATAAAAACCGTCAGACCGTCAATAATAGAACTAGAGATAGTGAAGTACCTGGAATAACAATCAAATGCTAAAACTAACTAAATTTAGTCCCCAACTAGAAGATGAGCCAAGTTAACTTGTGAAGAAATAAGCATATAAGATTGCAGAGTTAAAAAGAAGATCAAAGGGTAGCTTGACACAAACAGAACAGACTGAAGGACAGCATGTCACATGATAGAGTGACTATTGTTGGAAACAAGTTCAGGTTTGATCAGGAGTAGAAAAGAAAAAACGTGTTCGGTTTGTTTTTTTCAAACATTGCCTCTTTCAAGGACATTTATTTACAGCTCACGCCACAAACCTGAGTGACCTTTCCCCCACAGCACCTTTCACCCAGTGTTACAAACCACACACATCATTCTATTACTGTCTGATGGCTGATTAACTTTGCTGTAATCTCAGTTAGTTATGCCGTAAATTTCAAATCAGGCATATTCTCAGTCTAGGTGATGTGTACAGCCAAAGTACAGACTCAAAAAAAAAATAAAAAATAAAACAAATAAGGGACTTTTGTATAAGAGTAAAATATTTAACAAACAGTTAAAATGAATTCTTTGTATCATTATTATTGATAATAGTAATTTTAAGTACTTAGTGACAGGAGGCCATACCTGAATATTGCTGTTGCAATGGTTGAGGGTTGCAGGGAGACGGTGACTGTGTGATCTGAAACTGCTCTGAGCTGGGAGGCTGCAGGTAACCTACTGACGGGCTAAATCACAAACCAGAATCAAAGCTAAAGGTTACTTTCTAAAAGTAAAAAAAGAGAAAATGTTAGTCTACAGCAATCAAAGATGATAAAATATTATCCTAATTTTTCAAATATGTTGAATTAATATTAAAAAGAATAACATTCAAATTATATGAGGTCAGGTGGCAAACATTTCACACAAATCCTTGTACCTTGTGCTGTTTTGCTGTGTGGGTGTAATAACACTGTAGTAGACAGGCATAGGCCCCTGGACAGACTGGCTGACAGGGACCATGACCTGCTGCTGGTACTGCTGCTGCACCACTTGCTGATTTTCATTTGCCACTGGCACCTAACGCAAGAAATGGAAATATTGAGTGGGAAGAAAATGTAAATGGTTTTGGTTCACAAGAGTTAAAGTCAGACAATAAGTTATTGTCTAGGTGTCAACTTCAAATTTTAATGCTAATCAAACCACATCAGATTTCTAAGCATTTAATTCAGTTCCAAATATATCCCCACTGCTGCAACAAATGTATATTAGAGCTACAGTGAAGTAGAGCAACTCTGCAAGCTGAATTTATGCATGATTTCTAAAAGAGTGACATAAAACAGACGAATCAGAAGCACGCAAACCTGATATGATGGCATCTGCGGGTATTGAACCATTATACTTTGCATTTGGCCTCCAATACTCGTTCTTTGGGAATTGAGCAGACCAGGATTTGGAGGCTGCTGCACCCCCATCATGTTCTGATAGCTTGGCTGCTGGCTAGGCATCATGGTCTGAAGACCTGATGAGAGCACAATACAAAACCAGACAGAGGTTTGACAAAGTATTCAATTTAATTTCAAATGACATATTAAAAATGCAGAAAAACCGTGCGTTTCATGCCAACTTAAAAAGTAAATGATTCTGATTTTATCAATTATCATCAATAAATAATTTCAAAACGTATAAGTTCATGGCTTATCAAATTATGAGTGTTCACAGTTAAATCCAAATGGCAACTATAGTTGATGCAAGATCTCACTGACCTTAGTATTTATTACCTATGCAGACTGGCAGACTACCATTTCAACTCAAAGTCATTTCAGCTGTCAACAATGTTTATCGCTCAATATATTAACACAGATCAACTTTGCATAGCGTAAATTAAAGAGTCCAAATGTTGTGCCACTTTTTCCTTGAAAGACAGAGAGTTGAATATTGATCTGTGCCAAATTTACTTAACTGAATAATGCAGGGAAAAGGTTGTTTAAACCAAACCTTTCACCCGAATGACTCAAAGTAGGTCAGAGACAGCAAGTCTATTCATCGTATATTTCAGTTTTAAGTACAACACGAATCAAATATGTTAAATATCCTAAAAGCGAATATTTGTCAAAGTAAAGATCGTCAAGACAGACAAAGTATTGAATATTACTAATAGAAACTATGACTTAAACACAGAGAATAAGGACATGCAGATTAGATCCCCTGTAGTGACATGAGGGTCAGATCAAAATCGTGCCAACAATCTGTATTTGAAGACCCTGATGAAACAGCTTTCATAAAAAAAATTCAACAGGAACTGAAATGAAAAATGTTACAACAAAAATTATCAGTGGCTGTGGAAGAAGATAGCTGAAGCAAGATGCCAGTTAATTAAAGATAATGGCTGAATGAGGTTAAATTTTCTAACTTTGACTAAAAACAAGACTAAGGTCATCTGGTTTGGCAAATCATATCTCTACTCTTACGCAGTTGATGTTCTTTGATGTCCCAGTACGTCCAGTACAAGTCAGGAATCTGGGTGTTGTTCTAGAGAGCAATCTCACTTAAATGTCAGAAAAAAAACTCCTCTCTTTTCTCTGGTCTGTAGCTGATTAATTATTTGGTGTTTAGTATTGAGTTAGTTTTGAATCTCAACTCAGTTTTATTTACTTTTATTACAGTTTTTACTCAATTTACTATTTTATAATTGTGGATGTAATTATGAAGCATTTTGGTCAACTGATGTGTTAATCGTGCTGTACAAATGAATTAAACATCGATATTAAATGTGTCAAAGCAGAATTTTTTTCAAATCAAATGACAAAGAAATGTGTGTTTTCTAACTTTGGCGATGTGCCATGAGAACACTGACGGAGCTTTTTCAGCCACATTACAGTTGAAGTAGAGACTGTTTCAAAGTTTGCAGTACATCAGAATGTACTGACCTGACTGCTGATTGGGCGGAGGCATTGGTTGTGTGCGTTGGGCTTGATAAGACACCTGGTGAGATATAGGTTGGGACACACGGTACTGCTGTCCTGAACTGGCGTACTGACCAGGAGGGTAGTATGACACCTGTATCTGAGGAATGAAACAACAAACAGATCAGAGAAAGTCCAGTTGAGAAAAGAAGGCATTGCATTAATCCCCACTTCTTATTTATTTGGTTAATTTTATTGCATCAATGGCTTCCTAAAGTGTAGTGAAAGTATATGTTATCGGGACTTTTAATTTTAACTCGACATAACATAGAGTAAGAGTTGAGCAAGCACTATTCTGAAGCCCATGATCAATATTATGATTCTCATTAAACCTGGAATATTAGATTTTAGCCACAGGGGAGTCAGCAGAAATGAGCTGTGTGATGTATCGCCCCCCTTACAAGTTGCCATGGCAAAATATTTCATTGCTAGTTTCCTCATTCTGCAAAAGTAGAGGGACAAGAGCATAAGAACTGGGGTTGTGCTTCGTATGGTAAAGCAAACCAGCTTTAAGCCGTTTAAAATTAAGAAAGAAATTCAAGGTCACAGTCTAATAAACTCAAACTGTAAGATGGCAGACAGAGCCAAAAGCTATCAAACACGTAAAACAAAACATATCTGTTATTGGATTGTAGCAGCAGGTTGTCTGAATCAGTTATTGAAACAATGTTGTGAGATCTGAATAAGAAAACAACACAGACATAACCTGATATCTACTGAAGAAAAGACTGATAAGTGATAATCACTAAATAACCGTCTGCAGCTCCAAACTGATCCCCACCAGTAAATTACAGTCACATTTATTTAAGTGTTACTTTCTGGGGAAGCTTTCAGAATATTCTTGTCCATATTATCCTTGTTGCCAGTCACAGAAATAAGTTTTATTTTTATAACAACAAGCTGTCTGTGACAAACACAATTAAACCTGCTGCAGTGGAGAAACGGAAAATAACTTTCTACAGTATTTCCTGGATGAAAAACATATCTGTACATGTAAATGGTATTATTTTCTTCTTTAAACATGTATTGAAGCCTATGAAAAAATGTTTTACACCGCACACCTGCAATGTAAAGAGAAATATTGTTGAATACTGATGTTAGGAGCTATGCTCTTCCACTAAAAGTTTAAAGATGAATTTGAAACTATATGCGACTCTTGTAATCAGACGTTTGTTAAACCCACATACCTGTTGCGGTGGAGGGGGCTGGATGTAGCCCTGCGGCGGTGGAGGAGCCTGTATGACAGTCTGTGATGGAGGAGGCGGAGGCGGAGGAGGATGCGGGTGTCCAGTATTGGGCTGGTAGCCAGATGGTGGAGGCAAAGGCTGACCTGTCGTAGCCATGATGTAACCAGGCTGGGGTGGGGGGTGCTGCGATAGCACGGTGGGAGGGGGCTGATACATGGGTGGGGGCTCAGGGTTCTCGCTGGAGCCCTGCCGACTCAGAGTCATTTGTGTGAACTGGGGTGCCAGCTCATCTCCCTGGAAACAATGGGAATGATTAGAATGATTGAAATGGAGGGTTTCAATTATGGCATGCACTCCAAAGTCAGGACATTCAGTACAGCTGGATCTGGAGTTTCATATTTTACAAAATGACAAAGTGATCATAAGACTCTATTAAAAATATTAATAGCTTCATAGCATTTCTGTCCAAAATGTGTTGTTATTGGAAACCAACTGTTCTGAAAATACTCCCGTTATCAAAATGTCTGTGAAAATGTTTGTACACATGGTGTTTCAGCCCTACTTTACAGTGTAGGGCTGAAACCATTGACTAGATTAATCAATTATTGAAATAATTGTCAAATAACTTAGTAATTGATTACTGATAAGTGGAGTATACAGACTCACAAAAATGCCATTTTGCTGAAACAACACCACATTCAGAGCAGCAATTAAATAAAAACTGCAAAAATATAAATCTTGTATTTAAGATAAAAAAATATACAACTAATATGCTTATATTGGTATAAGCATATTAGTTATGTATACTAATATTGTATAAGCATAATTCTAAAAATCAGCAGACTAATCAAATTGATAAGTGACTGGTTACTAAAATAATCATTAGTTGCAGCCTTATAACAGTGATATAAGTTTTAGACATGAGCAATTATTAACAGCTGGTCATATGTCAATTCATTTGCCAACTGCCATAAAGCAGCAGAAGAAAACCACAATGAAAGGACAAAGCAGAACTTCCAACGCTGTTAAAGAAAAAGCATGCAAGTTAAAGACCATAGCCATCAAAATATTATGTGGATGTATATAAAAAATAGTAACAAATCTAAGTCTGGAAATGTTCAGCTGAAATCTAATCCATAGATCAAAAGCAACCTTGTTCCAGACAAAAAACATAAATAAATCATTATTTATTTTTTAAAAGAAATAATTAATTTTTTTTCACCACTTTTGCTACATCTATTTTAGTAAAACTGATTAAGATGTGTTAGTGTGTACGATGGAAAGAAAATTAAGGCGGCTAAATACCCATCTAATAATAATGAATAATAATAATGACAGCAAAAAGGCAGAATGAGCTTTTTCAGTAGAACCACCCTTTATGTTTGAAGATGTCAGCCTTGATGTAATCTATGACTAAAGTAACAGAAGTAATGAAGTTACAAGAGGCATCAGTACCATTGTGTACTGCTGGGGAGGAGAAACTGGCAGGAGAACCTGGGGGCAGGAGGGGCTGGAGTAGGAGACAGGCTGAGAGGGCTGCAGAGACGCCACCGGCTTCACACACCAGAAAGAAAGAGCAAGTGTACAGGCAGAGGATAAAAACAGTGAAGAAAGGCAGAGAAGAGGGCACAGAGAAGAGAAGAGAAGAGAAGAGAAGAGAAGAGAAGAGAAGAGAAGAGAAGAGAAGAGAAGAGAAGAGAAGAGAAGAGAAGAGAGAATTATGAAGACAGGAAAAATGAGGGTTAGAACACACTGGTGAAGTTTTAATGAGCAGAAATGAGAGAAATGGAAACTGAAGCAGTTCTTTAAATATGCAAATGCAACACAACCCATATTTAAAATAAATTGTTCTAACTACAAGGAATGAAACAAAGGGAAATGTCTAGAAATATGGCTTTATCCTGTTATATCTAGCATAAAACTGCATATAATCAAAACTTCAGCATTGTCTCAGGATTACCCACCTTGTTAGACTCTCAAATACTACAGACAGTTGATTTAAAGACTGTTCCAGTTTGGCCTTTAAACATTTAAAATAATTCTATTCCTCATTTATTTTTTAATTGTAATGAAATCAAGGCTCTTACCTGAGCAATCATGTGGTTGCCCATGGGGTGCTGCTGCGGGGTGGGTAGCAGAGCGGTTTGAGGTGGAGCCTGGGGCTGCGGCTGCTGTGGCGGCTGCGGCGGGCAGGGTAGGAGGCTACGGCTGGACTGGGAGACCGAAGGCGGCGGGCAAACATCAGGACTGACTAGGGGCAAGCCTGGAAAGGAAGAGGAGACAAAAACACCACGTTTGCAGTATTTTATTTTCCACTATAGGCTTCCAATAAAATCTTCACAACCGAATATAACTTACAAGTAGTAAAAATCACTACTTTGGCATTATTAGTAATAAGCAACTGAATTTAATGTCTATATTTAATTGTCTTCAATGAGCCAACAGCAGAGTCAGCTGTAAATATTGCTGTTTATAGAATGTTTCATCATTAACTGGAAGACACCCAGGTGATACATCATCCTGTCCTCAGTTAATTTTGATTTAACTGAAATGTGCATTTTTTTAAAACTTATTTATGCACAAATCATAACAAGAGGACCAGAAAAAAAAGCAGCAATACGATGTTTTCTGGTGAAGAAATAACTAGTACAAGACTGTGACTATTATGGTGTGTTGCGCCTGTCGTGTTGCTTTGCTACTCAGCTTTTGCATTTTATAATTCGAAAGTTAGTGCTTTGAAGTATTAAACCCAATGGGTTTCTGCTTCTGTCACATAGGATATAAATTCCTGTGTGAAAATGAGTCATAAGCCTCTCCTGGCATCTGTGGTGCTAAAAAAAAAAAAAAAAAAAAAAAACCCCAATTTAATCCCCAAAAACCTTGGGCCCAAAAACAAAAAGGTCTCATAGAAAACAAAAGTGTTTCATATAGACTCACGTTTTTAGTAACTGATAATGGACTAGGTCTGACTTCATGTCAGGTACTTTCTGAAAAGTTCAACAAGATTTGATAAATGGCCTTAATGAGTCTGCATGGTTACTTTGCTCTATGCAGGCAAAATTATTATGCCAAGTTTATATTCATTCCATTTTGGGGTAAGCTTGTATCAGTAGGCATTATTTCACTTATTGTTCAAACACTAAGATGGTTGATTTTTCTTTAACTCAGTCATCAACTTTAATAACCATCTGTGGTTCTTAAAAATATACAGAAAACACTTTTCTAAGGAAGATTACTTTGCAGTGAGACAAGTTTCTATTACTTGTAGTATTTTGGAAAACCCCAATATATCCAGAGTTGACCTTCAGTTAGAAAGGCACATGTATGCAATTAATGAAAAGTTAGTTTAACCTAAAAGTTGCTTGTTCTTAGGTTTAATGAGATTTACTGAACAGACTCGAAAGCTTTTTCCTTCAGTCCCTACCAGAGCGAGAGCCCTTGCAGCTTCCCTGTGATCCTTTGTTGCTGCCAAGGCTGTCCCCTCTGGTGAGGATGGAGATGCCAGAGAAGCTGCTGGCCTTCGTCACGGGTGGCCGAAGGGTGCGGTTAGAACTGTCTGAGTCGGTACTGCTCCAAGGTCGTGGCTCCAGACACTTCATATCACTGTCTGTGCTGCTTTGACGACTGCTTGATGCTCGACTGGAGCTCTCACGGTTCCCTCTAAAACACAACAGAACAGGGAGGATCAAGATTTTACAGTGACCACTGTAAAATAGAAACAGTTGAGTCGAGAAGTGAGGTAAAGTTATCAAGTGCAAGAAGTTAGCAAAAATAAGCAGAGGTAGAAAGTCAGTTGCACTTAAAATTATTCAACCTTTTTAAAAATTATTCTTTGGCAAAATAAAGGAAATATTTTTTTTATGATGGTCCTAATATCTTTTCAGATCTGCCAGGGATCACTGTTCCCCTTGACAGTACAATGATACCAAAGCTTCAGCTTCCTTACAGGCAGAACAACATTTTCTCCTAAGATTTCCTGATAATGAAATTCATCTTGCTCTCCATATGTTGCATGTGTCCAAGCCAGAGGGTGCATGATGTTATTTTCAGCCTATACTTTTTTCAACTACCAACATATCACGGATCCATTGAGATAAAAAGGCTAAATTTTGATTCATTCCACCTCTTAGCAGAACCTCCATACCTTTTTGGCTTAGTAATTAGTAATGCTACAGGAAGTTGTAGTAATTGTATTTTATTCTATTGTTGTGCTTTTGGGTCAGTACAGGTGTACATTTTGGAGATCAGGCATGGAGTATTTTCAGCATTTTGGCATTTACACTGGAAACTAAAACTAGCTGCTGTTGCCACCAAGTCTTGGTTCAAGTCTTTCAATTACTCAAGGGTTTCTGAGTACCTGCCACCTCAGGAATCTGATGGCAGCCTTGGTAGCCTCCTTGTTCTTCCATAGCATAGCAACCCGTGCTTCCAGTCAGACCTCTAGGAAAATTTAGCGACTTTTCAAGTTTTCTTGTCCTTTCATCTTCTTAAATTTTCTAAATGATTCCTTCGACTTAGCCGTATTTCTAACATGCATTCAAATGTTATTGTTAATTAGTCCGAGTATTTGAGCTGTTTTATCTCAAGCACACCTGGTGCACCTAATCAAATCCTCGATTGTTTGAATCAAGGGTGCTTGAAACCATATCTGATTAACAAAATGTCCCTATGAACAATTCTACAATAGTAACTGAAAAGAAAATTTAATGTTGAATTGTTTTTCTAAAAACCCTTGTAATAGTCTTCTTTAGCTACCCTTATTAAATTATTGTGCAATATGTTTATTGCAAACACCTATTATTTGCAGGTGCAGAATAATATTACATGCAACTGTATAGGGATAAAGGAGAGATTAACTATATAAAAAAGGAGGATGTGTTCTTGGAGTATTTGAAAGAGAGGTGTGGGTAGAAGTAGACACAAAAGAAGAAAGATAGGCAAGAAGAAGAGCAGAGTAAGGTCATCAGCAGCTAGGAAGGATACAGTTTGACAAGCCTCAAATAGAACATTCAACAAAGATGCATATTGGCTGGTTTTGTGTAACCAAAGTACAGACACAGGCAACATATCAAAAGCAAATTATTTTTGGTTTTCAAGTATACAACCACACACACATTCCCACAAACAAACCCACTCATGGGTAGAACAAGCATGCAGGGGGAAAAGATGCTTCAACATCAACCAGGTGTTACTCGGGTGAGGAGATGAGAAAGTTTCACAATTTCAACTCGCAACAAAGCAAACCATGTAAGACTATGGGCACAGTTTATATCAAAGATCTTGTGAATGAAATGACCATCAAAAGGTGCTAAATACAAGGAAAGAAAAAAAAAATCATGCTCTCTTCAAGTAATAGCAAATGAGACAAACATCAAAATTTTAACACTAAATGTATAAACAGTATAATGTTAAGAAGTAAATGTGCATCGACACTCAGGCTCACACACACCACCTACAAGATGAGCACTCGGTATTTTTACTCTCTGCCAGCCTATTATGATATGAAACTGTCACTCTGGTAATGGCCACACTACATGTGCAACCTGTACTCAACAGCATCATGCCCATCAAAAATAACAATTCTGCAATTTTCAAATAAAATAAAATTTTAACTGTCAACACTTGTCATCTTTGTATGTATTGTCATCCTAGAGGTAAAACACAGTGATGAAACATGACTATTTATGTAGAGGGGAAAATTATACATTTTTTAAAGGACTTGCAACTTTGTTTATGGTAGAACTGATTCAGATTATAAAACACTACTGAACAGCAAGTAGTTTTTAATGTGGCTCATGAATATTTCAGAAAGACTAATTAATGGAGGAACTATTTTGAGGCTGTGTGCTGCTCAACCGCTTAGGGAAGGGTGAGTGCAATGACGCTCTGAACAGGCTGGCACGCACTGGTTTCACGCTGCAAACAAAGACGATGCCAGGATTAGCAAAAGAAGAGAGCAGAAGGGATTCTGCTGTTGATCACATGAGATTTGATCTCAATCTCTCACGCCAGAAAACCTCTCACATGTAAACAGAATAGCAAGAAAAACCATCAGTGGACTGAATATGATGAATATGAATATGATGTCAAATTAACCGAAGCACTGTTTAATCTGCAAAGGAATGTCCTTACAATCCAAAATATTTAAGATGGCATGTTAGACATTGAAGTTACCTTAGGCAACAAAGTTAAAAAGCAGGTCAAGAACAAGAAGTATTCAAAAAGTGTTTGAAGGTCTGTGAATGAAAAAATAATAATTACTACTATACTGCTTACCCATCATTGTTACAATGCTATAGATCACATTTGGAGAAGTTAATCTGTACAGTCTAGCTGATGCTTACACAGATCACAAGCTAGATCTTCAAAGCAACATCCACAGATTGAGTCGTTATAAAACCTGAATTTCTATCATGGGAAATATAAATAGAGGAACATCTTAAAAGGATGAAAAATAAGGCGTTCTGATCAGATGCAAGTAGAAACACTGCTTAGTAAAGACATGCTAATTTCACTCAACAGTCCCACTACAACCCCACTAGAAACCAGCTGTTACAGCTGCTTATAAATGGTCAGGTTTGTGATGCTTCAATGGTCTGCAATGACTGCGACCAATGATGCTTGAGTAAAAAAAAAAAAAAAAAAAAAAAACGTGATTTGCAAGAAATTGTCTTTTCTCTAGAAGCTTTACATTGCACATCAATACATGTGGGCCCAAGATGGAAGAATATTTTGTCCACTTTAGCCTAAAACAGTCCGAGGTAAACTTTCTGGACCACCTCAGACACGAGTGAATTACATGTGATGGCAATTCTAATGAATGAGACAGACTGGGAGAAAATTTTGACAGCATAAAAAGTGTATGAGCATCCTGAAGTGTGATTATAACTACAACTTATGTCTAACTTAGAAGTTTACAGCTGGTCAGAGCAAGATTAATGCAACTTTGAAGAAAACAAAACAAAACTATATTTAAAAAGACAACCAAAAAAAAAAGACATAAAGCCTTAAAACTGTCTGGCCAGACTAAGATAGAGGCTGAATGGTTGCACTGTGTGAATGACTGGCTCTCTGGATGAGAATTAAGGTGGGACAGATATGTGTGTGCACAAGAAACAGCATCTCTCTGGACAATGTTCAATGTGAAAAAGACATTATGTAGCATATAAACTATAAATCATAAATGATCTTGGTTTGTTGATTGGATGAATTCACTTCAGAAGGTTACGCTTTCCCCATGTTAGCACCTGCAGAAAAGTGGTCAATGGCTTTGCTAAGAATGTTTTATATTTGTTTGGTCTAATAATCCTACAGAAAATAAATCTAAGATTTCACTATTTGTCGATATTAAATGGAATAAATTTTGACCTATTAATAAAATTAGCACATCTCAAATTTTAAAAAATAAAATTGTTAATGTAAAAAAAAAATAATTTATTCTTCTAGATTTTAATGTTATTTTAAGTTCTGAAGCACCATCATGTTAATTTCCAAACGAGTTTTTTGTTGGGTAACAGTTTGATAATTACACAGCTAAATCAACCACAAAACAAGCAGATCACTGTGAAATTGATGTGGATACTTTCCATTGAAGTGTAGCTGATGGTAGAAGGGTGGAAGGGTGAGTAGATCAGTTTCCAGTGAAACCACAAAGCAGCCATGCATCCACGGTGCAATGCTAACGTAGCCATTTATCAGCCCAGTACGCCAAGCAAAGATAATAATCACCACAGGTCACCAATGTCATCACCAGACCACTTTCAAAAAATGGGCATGGCAACACACTAGTGAGTCAGCAGCTCCCCAATACCTAAAGATCTGTCTCCTCTTTTGAGAGCTAGAGCAGTAGCCCTCAGTGGAAAGTCTGTTGGGGTTAACATTAGGAGAAAATGCTCAGGTTACAAGTCTGAATAGGAGGACAGGAAATGGCTTAAAGAAAAGGAAAGGTAGGGGGGAGAGGTAGGCACAGTAAAAAAAAAAAAAAATACCCTAGAGAAGAAAGGGTAAAATGCACACAAGGCAGAAATTCAACTCATGAGAAGCCCACGCTGCTTCTTTGTCTCACTCTCAGCAAATTAGGCCCTTATCTATCAAGCTAAATGTTGAGACTAACTGCTGTGTGACCTAACTCATTAGTAAAAACAGCAAAATTACTAAAACTTAGCTTCACAGAATGTATGATAAACCTGCGTGTCATAATAAATAACGTAGTAGTTAATGTAAGTGAAAAATAAACATCTTTAAACAAGTTATTTCATAGATTCTCATTAAAGGAAATACTACAAAGACAAGTTTAGAGGAACCAATGTACAAGACTTGATTACCAATGTCTTATGATCCCCCTTCTCAACTGAGAACTAAATAAGCAGTTTTAATTATGAAAGAGGTGAAAACGACAGTTATATGAAACACACACAAAGCTATCCAAGGGAAATCACCAACTTACCTGTTGTCATTGATGTATCCATTTTGAGACGACTGCAAAAAAAAGGACACCTGCACATTATGAAATGCATAATTCTATTAGTGACACGTTCCCAGCATCATTTTGGCTTGTCAACATTTCAAAATTCAACAGTTTAGGCTACAGCGAGGATTTTCTACCTAACTGATGCAAATGCTGGCTTAGCACCAGGTTTTTCCATTTCTACAGCTGCCAGCAACAAAACATCTGTTGTATCACAACACTAAGTCCTGGCCGGTCTATAAGGAGAGAACCACTTTTTTCAGAAGATTTGAGGCAAACAATCAAATCAGATGTTGTGATATCATGGTTAAAACTCCTGAGTCAGTCTGGCTTCTAATCTGCCCAACAAACACTATTTAGAGCTGCATATGTAAATGTGGGTAACACATCCACTCAGAAAAATGTTGATTACAGAGATCGCTTGGCTGGGGTTGTTCACAAATGCTGTCAAAATGGTGTATTAACTGAGCCTGAATTAGCACTGGAACAGTTTTGGTGGAAAAGCCTTAAGAAAACCCAGCAGGAGTTTCCTCCAAACCTAAGATTCAAGAACCCCTTATAGGATAGAACTAATAATTTGTTAGCTCTAGATGATTACGGTAAAATAGAAAAAGGCACAATAACTCGTTTTCCACTGTATAAAAAAAGAATTACTTTAATAATAAGGCCTTCAATGCCCTTTTGAGACATTCTTACATAAGCCCTTTAAGTTTAGACAAAATACATAATGTACTTTTTCTACTCTTTTTTTTTTTAACTGTCTGAAAGTCTCTTAAGAACAGCATGTTCTACAAAAGGTTGCACAACTTTCTTTCCCTGACGTTCTGAAAGTGAAGCAATTTCAGATTGTCCTAATGTAATTATCAACTTATAACTGAAAAGCAATTACAGTGTACTTTCCTTTACATAGCATATGTTAGTTCAACATATTTTTTGTATAACAATTTTTTTCCTGATTTCCTGACTAGTCTAAAACTTACCACAGTTTCGTAGTTTATATAATTAAAATACCCAAGACATCTAAAGCTTGTCCAAATAATTGCTCAATAATTAGAAAACACTCAGAAATCTTCTAAGCAAATGTTGCAAACATGATATAACATGAAAGAAAGAAAAAGGAATGTAGAAAATAAATACTTACTTCTCGGGCAAAGATCCTGTCTCGTACCCGCTGATATTCTTCTTCTCGCTCTTCAATAGATTTGCTACGCCTCCCGTCCTGCAGTGGCACACGGATCTAAAATTTGCAAAGACAAAATGTATTATAACTTAAAATGGTAAAGAAAGTGATAATATATCCCATGTTTGTTCACCTCGCTAAACATGTCAAAAAAAAAAAACCGGGAAAATGCTGAAAACAATTTGGAAGGTCAAATTATAGGTCCAATATTCAAATGAAGAATCTATCTCTTCTATGCAAACAGGCCTAAATAAAATTATTTCAGCTTAAAGAAAAATGCTGGACCAAATTAAATAAAGCACTAAGAAAAAGTACCAAATCTTACAAAGGTGTATGAGTAGTTTTAAACAAATGGAAAATAGTGCAGTTGTTACTTTGAAAGTGGACAAAGTATAGAACATGCTGAGATTTCATAACTTGCCAGCAGGGCAATTTGAAACAAATGGCCTGCCCTGTCATTTAGCTGTAGTCGTGACTCCTAAAGAGGAGAAAGTTTAGTCGTTTGACAGCAAAGTGGACAAACTGCAAACTCCTCGTCTGCATTGCAAAAACTACTGTTCCAGAAAGTAACAGTGCTGACAAATATGCAAGTTTTCTCTTTTTCAATTCTAAGACTATATGTATCAGGATTTAAAAGAAAGAAATTAAACGTGCAGATAGAAGATTAAGCACTTTGTTTTTGCCTCGCTTTGGTTTACTTGACACCTTTTGTGACTTACTGACCACTAACAAATGTATGTCGGTATAAAAACAGTATGGTGATTTAAATGGATTTGGTAATGGCAACCAACCAACCTGATTATCATCTTTGTCCATACTAGCATCATCTCTTTTAAGGATGAACTTCTTCTGAAAGTCCATGTTGCGTTCATCCTTGATGTGTTCAGAAAACCGTTGCTCTGGGCTGTTGGATAAAATATTATGAACAGTTATTCTTTAAAGGATGCAAAAAGACAGTGAACCACATTTAAGAGAAGGCAAAAGGCAAGGAACTAAGGAAAAATGTTAAAAAGCTTTTTCTTGTAGAGTTGACCTTTGCCTATTCATCTATTCATGGTTCATATATTTTGTGAGTCCAAGTTACTCACCAAAAATCTGCCTAATCACAGATTTTTCCACGGCACATATCTACTACGTTCCATCATCTCCAAACTAAAATCAAAAGTATTTTGTATGCCAAACAAGATAGCAAATGAACTTCATAACATGTCACTAAACAAAACTTCAAAACATTTATAAGGTTACAGTACTAAATTGTGACACACTCACATGCGAGTGTTTCCAGTCTTGTTGATGATGACAGCCTTTCCTGTCTGATCTACGTTGTGATCCATGCCAAAGTAGGCGGCCACACGATGCAACAGCATTCGATGATACGAAGTCATCTGAGGAAATTTCTTATACTGGTTACTGCAAGTGAAAAAAAGCATAAGAATAAGTTAGTAATTGTTACATGACCTTTAAGGTATTTGCTCTTAAGTTTAATTCTTTCTTGATGACTGTTGAAAAAGCATAAAAAGAGAAGCAAGAAGTTGGGACTTGAAATTAGAGGTGAAGCACAGTAGGTATGAATGTAACTGTGATATTATTGCTGAATACTGAGGTGGCTACATCAGTAGCAAATAATGCCCATTTTCCTCCCTCAATGCTTTCTTTTCCAAAACAACATAATTTCAATCACTCTCTGTGAGCTGTAGCTTCTCAGTCATTAAAAATGGGTATCAAATGGTAAATAACTCAGCCAAACCGTCTTTGTTGGTATGCTTAGTGTGAATGTATGGCACTCAAAATAACAGCCCATTAAATTGTGCCATCTAGGCATCACTTTCAAATGTGATAGTGGACACATTAGGATTGTGATGATGGCCAGGATTCTCTACTGAGTAGCTCTAAAATTTAGAGCTATTTAGAGTCTAAATGTAACAGTTATTTCTGGCACATAATGGGGATCCTGTAGACAAATGGGAAACTCACTCGGAAGAAAAGATTAATGCACTAATGTAACAATCTAGGAAAAATAATATGATCTTTAAGTGTAAAAATAAATTCAGTGTAATGAAAGACAGATTTACTTGTTGTCATTAATGAACTCCAGGATATCTTGTTCTAGTTTAAGCAGCATCATTCGATCCCTGGGGGGTCAAAGGGAGAAAACAAATTAGAGAATTCAGGGGGACTACTGAGTCCTCCATTTAAAATATAGTAAATTCGTCACTTAAGTTTGAGAAATCAATAAAAACAAATCATTTTGATGGTAGTTAAGAAAAAAATACCAGAAGTTTCTCTACATGCAAATTGAAGGGATTAATCTAACCACTTTATAAGAACTCTAAAGATCAACTTAAGCAAGAAAAAAAATGCAGAAAAACATGCAATGTGATAATAGTATGAACATTTGCACACAACAATAGCAATTACGATTACCCAATTAGCAACAATATAATGATTTTACTACTTTGGTAAGTCTATTTTGGTAAGTCTTTAAGCTGTACAAGCTCCACAGCAAAAAAAAAAAAGTGTATAAAAATATTATCATCAAATGTATTGTTATCCATGATGGAAACAGATGTGGGATTCTGTGATTACTCTAAATACATTTTGCGTGAATATTTACAAAGTGCATTAACAAATAAATTGCATTTATTTTTTATGCCTAAAGAAACAAAATTGCTTTACATCACTAATCTGTTTGGATTATTTACTATGTTCATTATAACCTTATAAGTCTTTGGTTGTACTCATACCTGGGATTGTTTTTCAGTGTATTGACCAAAAACTCATGAACGTCAATGCCTGTGGAGTCGGTGTATTCCTGACTGGAATCTATTGGAGGAAAAAAAAAAGAATGAATAAAAATAATTTCACTAAAAACAAACAACCAAGAAACAAAAAATAAATAAATAAATAAATAAAACAAGATACATTGTGAACATATGCCATATGAAGATGTCTCAAGTGGCTGAAGATGAATAGACATGTTTCATGCTTTGGAAAATAGTCAGATATGTGCTTGCTGTGTTCAGAATATACAGAGACAAACACCCTCTAGAGGGCAACATTACTTCTAAACCACACTGCACAGACACACAGGTAAGCCATTTCATCTCTGCTCCTCTCCATATGACACTGAGGAGTCTTGCAGAGAAAGAATGCGGTGTACTATAATTGTTTTATTTGTACTTTGAAACTGTTTCAAAAGTATCTCTTAGCACTGATGAGAGACATTCACATTACAAAATATCCTACAATCTAAAGAAGCACAATGATGTCAGTCTGGTACAAACAACGACCACCATCAAACCTTGTCTTACCACGTGACAGCATCTTTCGAGGAGTCTTGTCCTTCTTCTCCTTTTCTTCATTTTCATACTCGTCCTTTGAAGACTTTTCTTCCTCTTTGTCTGATGGGCAGCTGATGTGAAGCTGGATGATTTCCTTTAGACACCAACAAAAAAAGTGCCTTTTAATATTTGTAATGAATAAAAAAAGAAAGCTCAGGGATGAGATAAGAGTTAAAGACTGTGGTAACTGGTTCTGTGGGGAAAAAAAAAAAAAAGTGGTACCGATTCTGGGGGTCCATCGTTGGGGAAAGGACCAGAGGACTCCTCACATACTGCCAGACTCCGTACTAATTTCATTTTGGCATTAGACTGAAACAAACAAGATGAATTTGAGAAGAAATTTGATCAAATATGATAATACAAAAAACATCCAGATTGAGATTTGATTTTTTTTTTCTTTTTGCATTTTTCTGTCAAATATTTGACATGTTTGATGTTTACAATGAGAAGAATAAAATAAACTTTCAAATACAGCACAACAATTGCCATGTGTGGAAATCTAGAGGCTAGTTGTAATAAGATAGTTGCCTTTGTTGCCTAGTTTTTTCCATTTCTGCTTCCAAAGAACCCAATATATATTCCAAAGCATCATAATGCAAAAACCTGCCATAAGCCTACAAAAGGGCAAATTAACTCCCATAAAACATGAAAATGGAAAAGAAAGATAAAAAGAACAGTTTAATATATAAACTGATGAGAAAGTCACTGAACTATGTAGTCAGACTATAAACTGAATAGACGGTTAACCCCGCTCCAAGATGATGTTTCCACAATAGCCATTTAATAATAATTTAATAGCATGTATACACTTATCTAGTAAGCAAATTTAGTTAACTGGAATTAGTTTAAAAGAAAAGCGCCTAAGAAAGATGTATTAAACCAATTCCATCTGTTTTAAGAAATTATCATTCTAGTCTCAAAAGAAATTGGCTTGCTCTGCTATTTTTTTTCTGATTATATGAAACATTCAGTTAGTTCAACAGGTAAAGTGCAGTTCCAAAGCCTTACTAAGGTCAGTAGCACATTTACTGTTAACCTTCTTATCAGATTTAGGATTTTAAGCCAATGATATAATGCAGACAGTTGACTGTAGGTCAGTGGATTACAAAGCCGGAAGGATGAAAAGATATTCCACGCAGCAAATGAGCAAAAAGTCATTTCAAGCACCAGGATTATAAAGTAATATCAATTATGCTGAAATTCACTTACCTTGGCCCTTTTCCTGCCATGGCTGTGGTTAGTAGCCCGCTTCTGCTATTAAAGCAAAAGAAAAGTAATACTTTAATATTAGGGTGCAATTCAAATATCCATAACAATAATGGATTAGAATTAGAAGCTATAAAAGTCAAAGATTAAAGGACATTCTAGTTGCAGCATAAATATTAAGTGACATGACAAACATTTCTGTTTACTTAGTGCCTATGTATTGTTAAAGCACAAAAATGACAAAGATCTCTATTCAAAAACTGATTTAAAGTGGAGATCTTCCTGTCTCAGATCTCCATGCTGCTGTAGAGCTCATCACACTGTGCAGATCAGGTGCAACTTTAAAGCCGAGAAACCCGCTGAGAAACCAAGTGAATTTATTCATCGAGTGAGATACAGATAGGACTTCTCATTGTCACATCCTCTTACCTGTGCATCCTGTGGAGAGTTATCATCTGGCTCTGGTCCCTCTCCTGTCCCATCCTTGGTGCTCTGTGGTTGAGGAGAGCTTTTACCTCGACTGCAGGGCTCGATTTGTAGCCCACTCTCTCCCTCCTGCTGGATGTCTGTTGTCAGGCTCAGTGACATCTTCTTAGGGGAGGGGAGAGGGTGGGAGTGGGGAGGGGACTGGTGGAGAACCCAGTAGTGGCTATGAGAGTAAAAGAAATTTTTCAGAAGAGATTTAGTTGTTTTTTTTTTTTGTTTGTTTTTTTCTTTGTTGTTTTTTTTTTACAATTGAGCACAAAGTTTTATGCTGTTCCTTGTCCTTTGAAGTAGCTACCTGTTGGAGGTACCAGGTCTATGCTGAACTTTTTACAGTGAGTGTGGGTAAGAACCACACACAGGGAGATGAAGGGAATCCACTAAGGTCGTGTACTAGGCTGGGCAGCAGCAGGGGGTAAAGTGAATTCCATAGCAAGCCTTGGGTCTTGGGGTAAAGGCTGTCAGGGAAACAAAAACAACAAAAAATGTAATAAACTATATGAAAGGTACAACTTAGACAGCAAAATGGTTTTAAATGCAAAATAATGTTTGGAGATGCACAGAGAAATATTCCTGATTTACAGCTTCACGATACCAGAAAAGGAGAAAGGAGTATAATCCAGTGCTTTATTTTATTCTTTATGGTTTTCAACCTCTGCGTCATGGAAAATTATGGTTTTGGAAATTTCAGAGCTTCAGTAAGCACCAGGCCCTCTCCTCTTCTAGAATTTACACAGAGGCTATTTGTGTAATCCTAGCCTTGCTAAGAAAAAAGAAAAAAATACTCAATTTACAATCTCAACTCAATAGTAATTTCATCTCCGTTTTAAAGTGACAGCAAATTCCTATTTGACAGCAGCAGTGTCATGACATCATTCCCCCTCCTATTATAATAAAATATTTGAAATGTTTTCTTTGTGTATATTTTTATAAAAATAAAGCAGAATCAGTTAAAATTACTTTATGCAAGTCAAAGATTCAGAAAACAGGAATCGGCATCAAAGTTCTTCTCATTGCTTCTCTAAATATTGTTTCCTCCACTTTTACATATTCAGAATAAACATTTCTTTTGAAAGGGATTCATTACCTTTATGGCAACAAATACAACTTATGCATTCTAACAATCTAGTTCATTCATTAAGTCATCCTGCAAACAATGCATTAGACACCAGAAAGGTGCTATTTTCTTATGATACTATGTTTCAAACAATTTAGAAATATATTTAAGCAATTTCTAGATAAAATTGTGCTACACTGAAGACCGGCTATGATAATGAAAAATTAAACACTCCAGGTGTCAACGTGTTTGAGAAAAAATATATATATATTTGGAACTAAACAGTCATCTAAAGCTTTACCACAATATTTTATTGTGTTTTACAAAAGACACCAACAAAAATAAGTATTGTGTTTTCCAATATTGTTCAAAAAAATCAAATGAGATCATTTGTTGTTTTAACAATATCACATTTCTTTAGTGAAATGTTGAATGAGCTATAAACAAATCGCAACCAAATAACATTGTACAGTATTACTTTTCACTAAGGCCGAAAAGTGTTAACATATTTTGTGAAGCTCAACTG